AAAGCCCCCGATGTGGGGCTCGATCCCAGGAGTCTGGGATCATGACCTGAGCCGAAGGCAGATGCTTAACGACTGAGCCACCCAGGCGCCCAAAAATTGGGGAAATTTAAAATCTGTATTGTGTCCTGCCTGAAGAGTTTTCTGGTAAAGGGTTTTGTTCCCAGGGTAGAAAAATCTTAGTTCTAATTATAATAATGTTGTGTATGCATCTCTATCAGTTATTGAACAGAAAGTTTCAGATGATCATTTTGCCTTTCATTGACCACCCTAGTTCTGGTTGATATACACAAACTAATCTAGATTCTTTTCTGCCTGATTTACAAGAGATTAAAATGATGAAAATTGGTAGAAAGTTATACTTTTGCGATTGTGTTTTTATATGCAATCTTTAAAAAGATAGATTGCAAAGGATAGATCTTTATGATTCTATGGAAATATTCGTGAAAGAATACATGTTTTTATAACCACTTATTAAAAAAAGTGGAGGAAGCTCCTTCTGTGGTTAGGAGGATTCTCAGCTTGTTTTCAGGCTTCTGATACTGTGATAGAATAGAAAAGACTTATTATCTAGCATGGTTTTATTTGTAGGCATGAATTAATATGTTCTCTTTTTTGAGGACATGCATAGCACAAAATCCTTTCTTATAAATAAATTGAGATGGTTAAAAAATTGGAACTGTACACTGACTTTCCTAATCTATTCCAGAAAAGACATCCTTTCTCCCTGCCCCCTCTTCCCCCCACCATGTTGTTGATTATCATGAGAGGCCTGCTACCAGTTGCTTTAATGATTCTGAAATAGTTTACTGGACTCTCAGATTTTTAGTTTGAGAATTATTTATCCATTTGGCCTTTTGCTTCCAAACCAACAGAATAGCTCAGTATATTCACTAATTTTGATGTCCAATTTAACTTTTTTTTTTTTTTTTTTTTACAAAACTCAAATTCTATTTCCTTTTCCAAGTTCTGTCTACATCTTCTATAACATAGTAGCATTACATTGTTGAACTTTCATTCCTTATGCTGGTCAAAATATATGGAATAGATTTGGTGACTCCATGAGTTGCAGTGGTACTTTGGGAATTTAAGGTGATTACTTCCTGTATTTTATTTCATCTCAGTAAAATTACAGTAGAATCTTAGGAAAAACGTTAAAAAGTTTGTTATCTACAAGTAATATCACAAATTTTTTCTTTTATATACTATGGATTTTTTTTTGTGAAATCCCAAGTATCTTTGACTGTGATAAACTTCAGTTCCTTATATTATAGGGTTTTATCTCTTAAAAGAAAAGTTTTTATAATCTTTTGATAGCCAGACATTATAAGCTTTGAAAAGTTTTATTTTCATATTTTTTTAAGTAATTATGATCTTTTTCTTCTCTTCCTCTATTATTTAGTCCAAAAGAAACTCCACCTTCAAAACCTGTAAAGAAAGAGAAGGAACAAAGGCCACGTCACTTACTCACGGACCTCCCTCTCCCTCCAGAACTTCCTGGTGGGGATCCATCTCCCCCAGACTCTCCAGAACCAAAGGCAGTTACACCACCTCAGCAACCATATAAAAAGAGACCAAAGTGAGTTTTTAGAGGGATATTTTATTTTATTTAAGAGAGAATGAGCGGGGGAAGGGGGGCAGAGGGGGAAGGAGAGGGAGAAGAGAACCTCCAACAGACTCTGCACTGAGTGTGGGGCCCGACCTGGGCCTCCATCCTACAACTCCTGAGATCATGACCTGAGCTGAAACCAAGTCTGACCCTTAACCGACTGAGCCATCCAGGTGCCCCTGGAGGGACAGCTTCCTTCCTTACTTTTGGGCCTAAATCTCACACTTTCTTCCACAACCTACACTGGTAGGATTATATAAAATCGGGCCTAATGTGTATCTTTTATATTAATGGATAAAGGCTTTTCTGGGAGACCTGTTCATCTGCACCCTCAGATACCTACTGTTTTTAGAAAAGCAATGATTTCCCAAATTCAGATATACCATGAACATTGATCCCGTTGTATCTTTTGAGTTTGATACTTAGAATATTAAAAAAGAAAAAAAGCTCTTTTATTCAGGGTGTATCAACCATGTACACATAAATGAAAAATTAATAGATGTGGGATGTTTTTTCTTAAACCACATAAATTGCCATGCGATAAATGTAGTAGAATCTGGGTTTGATCTACCGTTAGCAGTAGATTGTTAGCATTTCTCTCTCTTTTTTTTTAAACTAGGCTCCACGCCCACCGTGGGGCTTAAACTCACGACCCTGAGATTAAGAGTTGCGTCCTCTACCAACTGGGCCAGCCAGGCACCCGAACATTCCTCTCTTAATAAGAAAAATAGTTACCATTTATTGAGTACATCGTATTGCCAATGTTTTATATTTTATTTTAATAGTAGCCCTATGATGTAGGGATTCTTTTCCAATTCAGTAGGTGAGGAAGCCAGTACTAAAGAGAGATTAGAAAGTAAGCAGCAGGGCGCCTGGGTGGCTCAGTTGTTAAGCGTCTGCCTACGGCTTGGGTCATGATCCCAGGGTCCTGGGATCGAGCCTCACATCGGGCTCCCTGCTCTGCGGGAAGCTTGCTTCTCCCTCTCCCACTCCCCCTGCTTGTGTTCCTGCTCTCGCTGTCTCTGTCTCTCAAATAAATAAATAAAAATCTTAAAAAAAAAAAAAAAGAAAGTAAGCAGCAAATCTATTATTTGATCTTATGCCTTCCTGAAGCAAAAAATCTATCTTAGCCACTGTGAGAGACCATTTATTTCATATCATTTGATTCCTGCCTTTTTAATAAAGAAATCCATAGAAGATTCATGGGCCAGAGAATCATCATAAAAGAATTCTGTTTTCGTGCTCGCTTCGGCAGCACATATACTAAAATTGGAAGAATTCTGTTTTCTTCTTTGAATAGGCTTAAGTTTTTAAAATAACTTTTTTTGGTTTGTTTTGTGGGGGCTCTTTTGTTTTGCCTTTTTTAGAATTTGTTGTCCTCGTTATGGAGAAAGAAGACAAACAGAAAGTGACTGGGGAAAACGCTGTGTAGACAAGTTTGACATTATTGGGATTATTGGAGAGGGAACCTATGGCCAAGTATATAAAGCCAAGGACAAAGACACAGGTAAATATTGCCACAAAATTCTAGATGTCAGGAGTTTAAAAATTTAGCAGTACTAATGCTAAAGTAGACTTAGCAGAAGTAAATTTCGAGTTTTAATTTGGTTTCCAAAAGTTACTGAAATACTAAAATTTTCCAAAAGAATAGTATAATTATTACTGTTTAAAAATCTTCCTCTTTATCTGTTGTCCATTGTAAATATTTTATAATAAGCTTGCTGGGAATTTAAGAGAGAGTAAAAATAAAATTTATAAGTTGCTCTTTGTTTGGTAAGGTGTAGTCCTTAAAGATAAAATGAAGTAATTGGATTATTGGCATATTTTAATACTTCAAAATTTTTAGGCCTAACTGAATACTGAATTAAGAAATGCAAGTCTTAAAAAAAATCAAAGGCAAGAAAGGGAACATGGGTTTGGTTTGGTTTTTTAAAGTATAAAAGTATCTGGCATATAGCATTAAAGTAAGCTAGATCTGTCTTTCAGAGCAACTCTGGGCATATATTGGCTGGTTCATGATGGTGGCCAAAATACGCTAATTGATAATAACAGTTTGAATTTATTGTAACAGGAGAGCTAGTGGCCCTGAAAAAGGTGAGACTGGACAATGAGAAGGAGGGCTTCCCAATCACAGCCATTCGTGAGATCAAAATCCTTCGTCAGCTAATCCACCGAAGCGTTGTTAACATGAAGGAAATTGTTACAGATAAACAAGATGCACTGGATTTCAAGAAGGACAAAGGTAATAGCAAGGAATCATGTTTCTACAGGGTAGATTGGTACATCTTATTTTCCTCTTTTAGCTTGTCTGTTTGACCAACTTCTTGAATCCATACCAGAGTTAAGATGTTAGTTTTGGGGATGCCTGGGTGGCTCAGTTGTTAAGCGTCTGCCTTCAGCTCAGGTCATGATCCCGGGGTCCTGGGATCGAGCCCCACATCAGGCTCCCTTCTCCGTGGGGAGTCTGCTTCTGCCTCTCCCACTCCCCCTGCTTGTGTTCCCTCTTGCTGTGTCTCTCTCTGTCAAATAAGTAAATAAAATCTTTAAAAAAAAAAAAAAAAGATGTTAGTTTTGAAGTCTCCTTTTTTTTTTTTTACAAATTATAATAACAATAATGGAAATTAAACCCAGATTTATCAGTTACTCTCATTTTTTTTTTTTTTTTAAAGTAGGCTTCATGCCCAGCATGGAGCCCAGCATGGGCCTTGAACTCATGACCCTGAGATCAAGACCTGAGCTGAGATCAGGCGTCAGACACTTAACCAACTGAGTCACCCAGACGCCCACAGTTACTCTCATTTTTACATCGTCCCTTCTGGTTATTGTTTATAATGCATCCATATTTAGTTTAGTTTTGGACTTACACAGTTTAGAATTCAAAGCAGATAGATCTAAAACAATCTTCAGGTCACATACTGGTTTGTTTTCCTGGGTTTGTAACTTTTGTCTCTTTGGGGGATAAAATTGTTCATTCATACTTACGTTTGAAGTAGTCCAGATATGTCATTCAACCTACTTTTTTTAAAGCAAATCTGAAGATGTCTTTTGTGAAGAAATGGCATCTGTGAATATAGTCTGGAATGTTAAGAGAGAACACAATTGAAGTACATAAAATTAGGAAGGTAATGGATAAAGTTAAGCTGGGCTTATTTATAGACCCTTAAAGATATTAGCACTAGGGGAGTAGCACTTCTCAAGTTTAGTAGAAGTAGTTTTTGTTTGTTTTTAATTTTATTAAATGGTAGAAGTAGTTTTAAAGCAAATAAAAAGAGGGCGCCTGGGTGGCTCAGTTGTTAAGCATCTGCCTTTGGCTCAGGTCATGATCCTAGGGTCCTGGGATCGAGCCCCGCGTCGGTCTCCCTGCTCAGCGGAAGGCTGCTTCTCCCTCTCCCACTCCCCCTGCTCCTGTTCCCTCTCTCGCTGTGTCTCTCTCTGTCAAATAAATAAATAAAATCTTTAAAATAAAATAAAATAAAGCAAATAAAAAGAAATTCTGCTTCTGTAACTGTAGTTAGATACATTTATGGAAGTTAGACCAGAATAAAATTAAGAATACTAGATATACTTCTGGGTATTTCTTAACTTCTTCTGATTATAAGAATAGTATAATGTATTGGTAGTTTCTCTAAGGATAAACAAGAAAACAATTTCCTTTAGAGTGGAGCTTACTTTTCCTCTGCCATTCTGTACTACTTATTTTTTTTTAAACTTTTTTTCTACTTTTTTTTTTTTTTAAGATTTTATTTATTTATTTGACACAGAGAGAGATAGCGAGAGCAGGAACACAAGCGGGGAGTGGGAGAGGGAGAAGCAGGTTTCCCGCCAAGCAGGGAGCCCAATGCAGGGCTCAGTCCCAGGACCCTGGGATCATGACCTGAGCCAAAGGCAGACGCTTAACGACTGAGCCATCCCAGCCCCCCCCATTCTGTACTCTTTAAATAGTTTACTATGTACTGTTTAAATTCTTTTTTAAAAAAATCATAAAATAAATGGATGAATAAATGGATGTGATGCATACCCATTGTGGCAAAATTGAAAATATGGAAGGGTAAGACAAAGAAAATGGCAACCATTTCTCTCCCACTCCATCCCAGTCTACTGCCATCCATAGAAAACCACTATAGTATTACCATTTTGATGTATTTCTTTCTAAGTGTTGTATGTATGTTATATTTATTTTAGCATAACTGAGATCAAAGTATATTTAGTGTTTTATAATTTGTCATAAGCAATTTGCCATGTCATTAACATGTTTTAATGACTGGGTAAGGCTTAGATGAATCTAAATTTACTTCAGAAGTCTCATTTGAGCAATTAGTTACCAGTTTATTTTCTTTATTATTATTTATATATAGATAAATCTTTAAAGATTTATTTTTAGTGAGAGAGTGCATTTGCGCGAACAGTGGGAGAGACAGAGGGAGAGGCAGAGGGAAAGAATCTCAAGCAGACTCCTTGCTAAGCGTGGATCACAACTCAGGGCTCAATCTCAGGATCCTGAGATCATGACCTGAGCCAAAATCAAGAGTCAGACGCTTAACTGAGTCACCCTGGCGCCCCTATTATTATTTTTTAAAGCAAGCTCTACACCCAATGTGGGGCATGAACTCATGACACCAAGGTCAAGAGTCATATGTTCTACCGACTGAGCCACCCAAGTGCCCCAATTAGTTACTAGTTTAAAAAATATAATCTGCTTTGAACATTTTTGTTCATAAATCTTTGCATTTTGATTTATTAATATAGTTTCTTAGAAGTAGAATTATTTGGTTAAAGGAGTTTTTGTATTTAATGTTAGATTCCTTTTTTTTTTTTTTTTAAAGATTTTATTTTTTAGAGAGCGAGCAAGAGAGAAACAGCATGAGAGGGGAGAGGGTCAGAGGAAGAAGCAGGCTCCCCGCTGAGCGGGGAGCCCGATGTGGGACTCGATCCCAGGACTCTGGGATCATGACCTGAGCCGAAGGCAGACGCTTAACCATCTGAGCCACCCAGGCGCCCGTTAGATTACTTTTAATATAAATTATTTATGTCCACCTGTGAGTGCCCATTCCACTTTATCCTCCCTAAGATTGAGTACATCTTTTTAAAAAATTGTCATTTTGATAGGTGAAGTATGATATTATTTTGGATTGCATTCCTTCTGTTACTTCTGAGTTCTTCTCCATGTTTATCAGTTTCACTTATTTTCTCTTCTTTGAGTTGTCCTTTTGTGTCCTGTGTCTACTTACCTTTTGCAGTTTTGGTGTTTTTCTTACTAATTTGAGCTCTTGGCTAAATCTAAGATATTCCTTTAATGCTGTGGTTCTTAATTTTGGGGGGGTTATGGACCTCTTTAAACATTCTTACGGATCCATACTTTAAAAAAATAAGTTCCAAATGTTGCATATTATGTGTTTAAAATATTGCATACTATTTCAGGGAGTTCAAAGAATCCTTGAAGCCTACCCTCTAGGTTAAGAATCCTTGCCCTTATGCTGGTAGGAGACAGAATTTTAAGACTGGATAGATAATTGTCTAATCTAGGTCTAGTACTGCTTATGTTAAAATATTTGCCAAAAAAACCCCAGAAAAACAATATTGGCCTTTGTCATCATATACCCTGCTGAAGTGGAAAGATAGCATGGATTTCAGATCTTTTACAGTTCTCTTAGCATACTTACCCTTTTATCTACTTCTAAATTTAAGGAGTTTAATTGGATGGTTCACCTTTCTTTCAGTTCTTAAATACTATGAATGTGACCAATAATTTGTACTATATATACTGTGCTATGCCTGGCATATTATGTGAGTACTATTAAATATAACTGAGGTAAAGACTTATACAGAAGTAGCCATAGACAATAATGGCATAGTAACAAATGGGCATGGTTATAACAAATAAAACTTCGTTTTACAGTGACAAACAGCAGCCTGGATTTGGCCCAAGGCTTGTAATTTGCCAACTAACTCAGATTGTAGAAGACTAGTAATACATCTTGATCAGAGCAGTTGTTCTCCTCAAGAAGTAAATAGTCCGAAGAGCACTGGGTTAAGAGTCAAAAGATTAATTAAAATAGTAGTTCTGTTATTTATTATTAGGGCAAGTTATTCAACTACTCTGAGTTTCAGTTTCTTCATCTATAAAATTAAGTGGTTGTTTCAGAGAGTCCACTCCAAAATTACATTAAAATTTGAGGCATTGTCATTTCAGCATCCTTTTCCTCTTGTTTTTAATTTTTTCTTTCATTTTTGTATAGGTGCCTTTTACCTTGTATTTGAGTATATGGACCATGACTTAATGGGACTGCTAGAATCTGGTTTGGTGCACTTTTCTGAGGACCATATCAAGTCATTCATGAAACAGCTAATGGAAGGATTGGATTACTGTCACAAAAAGAATTTCCTGCATCGGGATATTAAGTGTTCTAACATTTTGCTGAACAACAGGTAACATAGTAACCAAATGAGGTTAAGCATTTTCTCCCTCCTGACCCAATTAGTTTCAGCTAGTTAGTTGGGGTTATAGGTAGACCCAGTGATGCAGTTTCTTGCATTTACATACATATGATAACTGTACTGTAGGAACATCTTATGATGGGGTACTCTGATGAGCAGAGTCTTCAGACTCAGTGTTGGTAAGGAATTAACAGAGGTAGGATTGTAAAGGTTTTTTAATTGCAAACATTTAGGGAATCACATCCTGTAGGAATATTCAGAGTTTTTTTGCCATAGTTAGTAAATATTATTGTGGTCCTTGGCAATTAAAACACACATTGAGTTCTCAGTGTAATTTCTCCCTTGTTTAAGTGGGGAGAAACATGCCTGCTCTTATAGCTGCTCTTGAGACTTTCTCTGTTACCAAATTTCAGAGTAAACACAGATGTAGGTGGTGGTTGACCTTTCTGCCAAGCACTTACTCCCCAGGTTTTAATAGTGTAAACAGACAGGAATTTGGTGATGAACAGTGCTAAATCTTCAGAAGTTTTTATCTGCTTTCTTCCTCTCTGGCTATTTGTCTAAACTACATTGGTGATATCAGGTGTATTATGCATACTAGTGTTTGGTAAATAGCCCTACCTATCGAATAAAAAGCAGGTCTGATACTATTGAAGTTATACCAGTGTTTGGTTCTTTAGGTAACTGGGCTGTTTATAGCCATCTTTGTCTGATTTACCCATTGTTTTATACATTTCTGTTCAATTTAACAAATACTGTTATCTGGAGAGAGCTATAGAATGATTATGACTTATTTCTCATCTTCGTGGAGTGAGATAACCAACTATCCTGAGTTGCCCAGGGACTGTTCTGGTTTTATTTATTTTAAGTTTGTTTTTGTTTTTGTTTTTTTAGAGAGCAAGCAAGCAGGGAGGGGGAGGGACAGAGAGAGAATTTTTTTTTTTTTTAAAGATTTTATTTATTTATTTGACAGAGAGAGAGA